CCCCAAAACCCCAAAACCCCTTGAATTGAATATTTTCGATTGAGTTATGAAATTATCTAATGAGAAATTGACTTTTTTAAATTTATAGGAAATTAATTTATATGATTGTTAATATTTTATCAATGAGAAAATGATCTATTTGTCTCTAAGATCTAGTTTACTGCTTATAATAACTTAGAATTTATTTGCTTGCTCAAACGTGTACAACTTCTTCATAGCTGAGTTTCTTTTGGAATCCACTGGTGGGTCCAAAGGTCACTCTGCTTTCATAGAACATTTATTAATCATCATCCTCTTGGTTTGTTCTGATTGAAAAGACCGATTCCAAATAATTTCCACTATGGAATATATTAATATATTATGCCGAATGTTTAAATAATTTTGATATAAATAACCTGTAATTTTACTTACTTTTAAGAACCTTATGGACTATTATTGTTTGAAGTGTCAGTAGAATCGTTTTCTTAGCCATCACTTTTCCCATGGAATACTTTTTCTAGATATTTCAAAGTTGGATTGAAGGGAGGCGAATTTGGGTTCTAAACAGAATCAAGACCAAGTCTACGCAACCTTCTTTGAGCTGCTGGTGCTTTATTAATTGATTTTTTAAAGTATTTCTCGTAAAGGAAGCTGAAGTAAAAATCTAATCCAACACAGTATATTAAGATAAAACCATAGAACCAGATAGCAGGTACATTTATGAAAGAAGTAATTCCGTGACTCTTTTTCATTAGAATAGAATTGATAGCAATTATACTAGATACAAGAATCACCAGTGCAACTGACGTAGCCAATCTTATTTTGTAACAGGTTTTTCTTCTCTAATAGTCATCGCAATAAACTCTCATGAGAATAAAAGCAGCTATTCTCAAGAAATAGAGAGCGGTTATGAGAACTCCAGCAAAAATTATAACGCTCAGTGAGCAACTGGCCAAAAACTCTATTTCACTTTCATCAACTTTTGCTTATTTATGGTCTGATTTATAATCAGATTTAGCTTAGCTCATCTCTTTTTCAATGAAAGATTCATCATACTTTATCAATAAGGCCACACTCAGGTTTCCTAGATGGAAAAAGAGAGAACTTATATCGATTGCAAAGATTGCAAGCACTGCAGTTTTGATTCTTAATTTAAGGCAATTGGTTAATACCATGTATCAGATAATTATTTTTTTAATTATATATGTGTACTTCTAAATCTTAATTATACTTCGAAATTCTCTATTCAGTTACAACTATAGGCGTTACAGAGTACTTTACTACAGTATTAAATATTTCAAAAGATCATGGGGGTACATAATGTTGGGATGGTAATTGGGAAGAAATTATTTTTAGATTAATGCTTATTTCAAATCTTTTTTCAAATAAAATGATTGAGTTAAGATACTTAAGTTTAATATCAAATACCAACTAAGGCTATAATGATAGGATCACTTAATGAGAATAAATATTTCTAAACTCTCAACAAACACTAATTATCCTAATTCGATCATAAGTTCTGGTTTTAGATTATTTCTCAATAAATTTATGATCTACGTCCCTTCTTTTTCTTTTTCTTTGATGGAGAAGTGACTTCATCCTAGTATGCTATATCTATATTTTGATTATAAGTCATAGAGGGTCTCTACTATTCATTACTGTAGACAGAGCTACGCTTGCTTGGTGATCTAAAAATAGATATTATTTTTAAAGATATTTTACTGTTAAGACTCTTAAGTAGATTACGTTTTATTATGTATCATTTCTGATTTTCTTCTACTTTTATTTTCATTTCCAAAGTGTTGATCTGGAATGTAAGGCTTATTTATATCTACTGTTGAAGAAGTGTTAAGATCACTGGCTGTTTAACTAATGTCTTGTATAGGTGTTTTCTATGCCTTTTTTGTTTTATTAAACCCTTTCTTGTAATACTTATGATATACGCATGAAAAGTATATGTCAAAAGCAAGGACCCAAACCAAAACTAAAGAATATGCCACAATACCAGGAATATTGATGAATGAAATAATGAGGTAAGATTGCTTAAGCAAGATTATCAATCCAATAATTGCTGATAGAAGCATTAATATTTAAAGCACCAACGTTACGACTCTAACATATGATGTTATTTTTCTTCTTGAATATCCATCCTTTTCATTCCTCATGTAAATATAAACCACAACTCTTGGAAAAAAGACAATGCCAGCCATTAAACTTGATATCCCGATCATCAAATCAAGTGAATTGTATACTAACTTCTCTAGATCTAGATCAAAGGGGAAGCTGACTTTGTTGTCCATAATATATTTTAATGCATTTTCTATAATTGCTTATTTATCATCTCTTACTCTAGCTGCCAAAACAGCATTGATGATATAAGAAACAAGGGCAAGGATATCGCAAATGAGGATAAGCATTACACCAGTTCTCATTTTGCAGCAACAGCAGCATTTTTAATGCGAGTCACTCATTCAGGAATTATCTCAAAGAATTAGTAGAATATTATTTAATTATATAATTAAAAATATTTTCTCTATCCAAAAATTATTATAAAACTCTCGAGGGGTTTTGGGGTTTTGGGGTTTTGG